TGGTACTGCCATGAATGGGGACAAGGTATCGCATGTTACAGTGGACAAACCCCGATACCTGACTTTAAAACACTGCACAAGGATACAATTGTCTACAACGTCTTGCTTTTCAGGTACTCATGGCCCAAACTTCTGACAATCGTCTTCCAGTGCTCATCAAACTTGTGATGATTGCGGTAACCTTCTCTGATAACGGCTTCGACCTATCTTACCCTGCTTGCTTCGATTTGCTTCCTCCAGACAACGTTTGCCAGCTGGATGTCATTTCTCATTCAACAGATAATTAGGCATACATAGGCAAGGATGTTTGTATGCCCAAAATGCATATTACGCAAAGTAACTGCCATAATCTCAAGTAGAATTCAACAATGAAGAATGCGTCAATTAGTTGCCTCTATGGTTTCAACACGGCCTGTGTCGGTATTGATATGATTCCAGATATTCTAACTTAGAAAGGCCGAGTACAATGGAAATAATTTAGCGATTTTCTCATTGCAGTGTTGACGTGCCTCGAAGTAACTGCAGGTGGAAGAGACAGTGTCGTTGGTCTGGCCGGTGCTAACACTAATACAACAATAGAACAAGCCACAATGAACAACGCAGTCGACTTCAATTTCGTCCTTGACTTCATTCTTTTTGGAAACTCGTAGTGGTAAATCCCCAATGCTTGTTTATCCTACATTGAGTACAAAAAAGAAAGTACTTTACTTATTTACGCATTTGAGCTTCAGTTTCATTTGAGCAAAGTCGTTCAAACTGGGATGGCCGGTTATGAAATAGTGGTGCTAAATTTTGTGGCTGCTGGCCGTTACTTTGATGACCTTTGTGGTGCTCGCGGTGACTTTCATCAGACATTGCCTCAACTTTTTCTACCTTGCCTGTTCAAACTTCGTGTCTCGAGAGGCTTGGGGTTTGGATGTGCTGTGTTATAGGGCTCATTCGGGCCATTCTTGGGCACTGTGGCTGCAGTCAGTTGTCACAGTCTTTTTAATGTATAAATTTGCCTTTAATTTGTGTTAGCAATTGAATTACAACAATTAGGCAGAGACAGAATTCAGTGTCATACAGTCTGCATATCCTGTAATCACAATGTCTAGAACCATCGACGTTCGAGTGTTATTGGTAGACGAATTACGATTCCGTTAGCAGTTGAGTAATCCTTGGGCAGGAGATGTATGCATCCATAGAATTGATCGCGATCTTCTAATTCAGCTTTGAGTATAGCGTCAAACGAAGGTGTTAGTTTAACATGAGAAAAATGGAATAAGTACGCTCAGGTTGGCAGTCCTGCGCGACAGGCATGGCTTACAAACAGCACCCATGAGGAATTCGCTCTCGAATCACTGACATGGATTTCGCCTAGTTGTAGGAATGCGAATTTACACTTAAGTCTGTGTGGTGACACGTCCCACGGACGATAAAGTGACACAAAGCCGAACGTCTGCGCCAGGTCAAATCACAGTTGCCTGGGACACTCAAATTCACAAATAGATCGTTTGATGACTTTAAAACAGAGCCCAATATACTAAACCGATGATTGGATATGTAAGCATGATCGTCCTCCGAGATTTTACTTTAGAGCACTTGTACTACAAATTAACTGGCAACCTCTCTGCGATCGTCTTAAGAGTTTTGCTAGAGTCTAAATCAGATTCATCGTTCAATTCTGTCAGCGTGGCTGGCCAAGCTTGCATCTGTTGGTTCATATTAAAACAAGTCCTCGCTTTTAAGGGTAGATTCGTCATTAGCCTGCCAACAAAGGCCCGTGCTGCAGTGTAAATTTGACACCTTCGTCAACATTTTGTTTGGAATTTTATTGAGATTGATTGATTGCATTGATCACAAAATAGCGCGATTTGTACGTCTAGAATCTGTGACCTATGACAAATATACACTCGACTGGAAAACGAGCGTGAACATCACCAATCAACACAAACCCCACTGTCTTGCGGGAAAAAGAAGAAGAGTTTCAAAGGGCAATTCGTTGTGGCAACCAGAGGGCCTGGTAGTACACCCGGTCAACTTAATTGTGAAGAGCGTCGCCAATGGGATGAGGAGGCAGAAAGTGAGTAGGTGACATGAAATGGCTTGCATGGCAGGTGGGGTTAAGGAGATGACTTGAGGAAAAAAGCCAAGTTATCGAGGCTACTGACATCTTAAACAATAACTACTGAATTCAAACACGGCAGATTCTGCCCACCTGGAAACTACGCATTCATACTGATCAGCACCTAGATACAAGTGTAAATGCAAATTCATCGAATCGTCTGTACATCAGAAACAATACAAGACGAGGCCGGTCACAGCATATTTGTTGTAGGGTCCGTGAATTTACTCCTACCATGATAATCTGGTGGCGATTACCAGACTCACACTTGCTAGTGTTCCAAGCCGACTTTAATGATTACCGACTTGCCAACTATTCACTTCTATCCGTTTGTCTTACGATTTTCGGTGTTGTCTGCATTGCCATGCCATTAAAAGTCTTTGGTTCCAGTCCTATCGCAACTTTTATAATATGCCGGACTAAGGCTAGCTTGTAAGAATTTATATGACCTCTAAAAAGTCGTCATTTGAATCAATTAAAAAGATTCATGTCCTGTGCTGCCGCGTAGACTCCGACAACATTCAATCTCACCTCAAAAATAATTAACGCTGAAGCGATTGTTGGAACTAAGCCACACCTGGCCTTTGGATATGTGCCTCGAATTTCTATTGGCTCACCCCATGCTCAAGTGACAGCGCCTGTCCAATGAGAGCGGACTTGGCGATCGATACTTTGGTGCACAACCTAACTTGCAGACAACTACGGCTCAGTTCGCGCATCCCCGCTTATACGTTTAAGAGATGACAGCCAAAATGGAATTAGATGAGGAACGCTCGGAATTTAGGGCCAACCACTAAATACAAACTGAAGCCTTAGATGTACTCAAATCATCAATTAAATTAACTCCATTGTGCTTTTGAATAGTCAATAATTGAGCAATTATCGCCTGAACACAAGGGGAGTACCGAGAGACCAAATAATAGCAACCTAACATCCGGGACTACTAGAGAAAAGATACAAAATATTCAAAGTAAAAAAATTGGATTTACAAAAAAATATATCAGTGAAGGGCAACAAGCGTCTACGATGGTGTGATGGCGAGACGTCCTGAAAAGAAGGAAACAGCCAAGTAATGGTGATGAGCATAATGTGTCACACAGTAAAGCAGTACCAACAAAAGTAGTGACAGAAGTACGACTCCGCCACTCACTCAATTACAGCAAACGATTATACGTCTGAGAACAAACAGACGACTGATAACAATGACAATTACGACGTCACGAGTGATCTTGTGATGATTGCCTGAAGCCTTGACAAGCTGCACGGAGCTACATGTACTTATATTACCTAACTAACTGGAACAGCACCTCGGTATGGACAATGACATGGATTTAGAGGGTTATGCAGTAGTAAAATACCGGCAAATGACTACCCAGCATTCCAAGTCCACTAGCAGTCCAAATTAAGGCAACAAAACACTCACGTTGGATGCATCACGCCTTCATCTGATGATTAACACGTCCTGCAGGAACAGAATTACCAAGCGTCCGCCGAGGTGCTTTGATCGGTGGAAGAAGTCGCTTCTCACTGCATGGTTTGCCTTGTCTCTTCACACTCTGACTTCTTGGAACATTCTCCTCTTCGCTGTCACCCTCAGCCGGTGATTTGCACAGCAGCGATTTCAACGGACCCTCCGACGTCTCTTGACCTGATGCAGCTGGGGAAGTCGTGGCATCAACTGAATTCGCTTCACCTTGCGGCACAGATTTCAACACGAACATACTACTGTTCGTGTAGGCGACCATCATTTGCGACACGGAATTGTTCAAGTTGGTAGTGAGACCTGTCATCGTCGCCAGCAGCTGCACTGCTTCTTTCAGGGTAGAGGGGACACAGTCAGCCGAGGTGTTATTAGTTAACACATGGGCTATCGAACTCATTGCGCCAGAGACAGCGGTTGCCAGCTGAGCAATGAGGGCAGCGGTTGTGGCGTTTTCGAGTGCATTCACCAACAATGCGTTCGACGCTGAAGCTGCCGGGTTGAGCAAAGTCGCAAGTAAACCTGGCGGCCCTTGTTCAAGGTCCGTAAGAACGCTAGCTGGCACATTTGGAAACGGTGTAGGCAGCACAGGGGGTAGAGGGTGAATCGGCTGTGTCACATTACAACCGGAAATTGGAGGATTCGTCACCGTGGGGATCTGTTGGTTGACGGCGGTGGTGAGCGTCGGCGGACCAGCAGACGGCACAGCCACATGCACTTGAGTTCGATTGTTACCTGATAACTCTGAAAGAATCGTTCCCAAGGCTGAAATCGGCACAATAATTTGATGCGTTTGAGTTGGAACGGACTTGTCAAGCTTTGGACAAACGGGCCTATTGGGTGCATTATTTGAAGACGAAGATGCGGACACCGGGAACATCCTCCTCGTGGAAAACCCGCGCGCGTAGACGTTTCACGCAAACTGTCGATGTCGTACCTGGCTGCCTTCCACGTGAGTGGCTGTCCAATTAGACCTCGATGCAGCCTGAAAACCCACCAATGGTCACGCGACCTTCATGTGGACTGAAGTGAGTCACGCACGCGTATTGGCACTACTAGGAAGCGCGTGAACGCGTAGACGCTCACGCGTGATGCACGCACGCACAATTGGCGTGTGAACGTTAGGCTTGCGCGCAGCCGCCAAGTGACCGATCAATAGAAGTTGATCGACCAATCACTTTGTAAGGACTCAGCTTGGCCTTGGAAACATTTATCAAGCGGATGCAATGCAAATGGCTTTCAAATGAGCTTTCGTGTCTCGGATGTTTGCAACAAACTAGATCTCTAATTGGTCGCTGTGTGGACTCACATGACGCCTTACAATCAAAGAAAATGCACTACAGAACGTAGTGTCTACGTTAGTGGGCCTTGGGTCTAGTTGGGATTATTTAGGTAGATGAAGTTATGAGAAATGATAAATTAATAAACATTTTCGGCAACTTATCGACCTTTTAAACTGTCCTAATCGAAACAATCGTGGCAGAATAAACTAGAAGTTGTCTTGATATCCACGACATCGATTTGGTTCCAAGCCCTGTTAGAAAAATCTCTAAAGAATCTTGTACCGCGGATTGAATGGTGGAATTTCCGTGTGAGTATCAGCCGTGCATGTACGCGAAACCACGCAGTAGAATACGCTAACAACGTCTTCTAAGCAGCTGAGTATATGTCGCTTTTAGGCTTCTTTCTTCTTGATATTTCATGCTTTCAAGATAACCAACACAACTGGTCAAAATTTCACTAGCATCTTGATAGTTAGGGAAGCGCGGTGGAAGAAACAGAGATAAATCCTCCATGTTCTTGATTCGGATTGTGCCAATGATTTTGACTATTTGCACTCTAAAATTGAGACTCTATTTCCGCAACAATAACAAATTGTTCAAAAGAGTTAGTTGCTTGACAGAGAGATGGAACACCATCGTTTGTGTTAGGTGTCGATGCTGGCATGTCGACAGATTTGGCAATTCACACAGGCTCTTCCCTTCAGTTCACAGTCAGTTAAGGTCTTGACATAAGTTCTAACAGCGTAAATCTATGATCTGTGTAAGGAGGTAGTGCTAAACCCCTAATATTTATCGGAACGAAGACTCTCTTCAAGTAATCTTACTTTGTAAAATGATGCCTGGAATATCAGATACCAGCTTCTCACTGCAATCACGCAGTCAGTGTATCATCGATCGACTGCATGACAAACGGCCTTGTGGAGCTAATCGGTGATCTGCTTATTATGTGTGTGTTTTACTAAGAGTTTCAGCAGTACGAAAACACTCCACAGTTAATTAAACGATATAAAATGGTGCCTCGCTCTGCAATACGATTCTGTAGTTTTCTAAGAGAAATTTAAAACCCCCTTTCGTACATATTCGTGGGAGCCGTCAGAAGTGGGTGTTAGCGCCTTAAACACTCACGCAATGGGTAATTTTGGCAACCATTGGCCACGTAGTCATAGGTAATCGAGAGATGCGGGAGTGCTGTTGTGAGTCCCAAGCAGAGAAGCGATTCACGTTGAGCCTCCGGCCACCAATTTCTGCCAAACCTTAATATACGGATGCTTAATTTCCTCGACCGAAATCGTCTACGAGTCGGCACACTGCAGCAACGTGCATTACGACCACAAGATCGTCAAACCTGGGACAAAATGTTGTATCTGTGTAAATGCAGTCCTTCAAAATTCCAAACCCTTCAACACAATATAGACTGACACCTTCCGCTAAAAGAAGGCCATGAATAGTTTTTCATTCGGATAATCGGAATTGTGTGGCCTTGTGCTACGTGAGGATCTGTGTGCACAAGCAGCATAAATGTCAGAAATGCACGATCATGGGCCACAACGATGGGTACTGCCAGTCACATCTGCCAAGCAACAGCAAGCAACGTTTCTGCTGCCACAAGTAGCAAGGGTTAAAACCCAAGCCATCACTCCCAACAGCTACGAGGGAGTGAATTGCTTCTCTCTGCAACACAACCTACGCTGGCCTGTGCCAGGTTGTCTGCACCGGACTGACTTTCATTGAGCAGGATTTGCTTTGAAAATATCCCAAACAACTAGATTCGCAACTACCTGAATTCTATGCCGACAACCAGGAAGGATGTCGTCATCGCTACATAAGTGTTATCGCAGATCGTCCACACTTAACAGGCGTAATGTCCCACATACTAAGACCACACACAGGAGAAGGCCATTCACAAAGTCCAAAGTAGATGGCCTAGGCGACATCTTAGCAGCGTAGAACAGCGTCACTCACCAAATATTCTGCAACGCACAAACAAACTGCTGACCCAGTCTAGCGCTGACAGAGTTTTTACCGAACTGCATGACTACTCTCTTTGTAATATAACTGAGTTTAAATCCCTTTCCTTGAAGTAGCATTTATCGTTAATTTTATTACAAGATGCATCAGTCTAAGTAAATCTGGTTTACTTTGTGCATTTACATAGAAAATGACGTCAGATCTGTTAAACAAAGCTGTGAGCACCATTAGTGGCCTTGAAAGGTGGAAGTTAGTTCCTCACCCACGCTTCCCAGCCTCGTACAGTGTTTCTAGATTTTCGACCCATTGTTTTATTTATCTTTTCTTAGGATGTGACAAAAGGGAGTATTAAGAGGGAAAAAACTGAAAGCGGGATTTATTATATAGCTAAATTCCAATGAACATGAGCGTCTAACACTACCACAGAAATTCCGAAAATTGACAGAGGTGTCATTAAACTGGAAGTCCAAATTTATTTAACTATTTAATTGACTAGCCTTGGGGCATTCACAACGCTTTTATGATAAGTGACCTCTAAAAGTAAGCTGAAACCAGATCTTGGACATCAAGGCAATTTCCGATTCATTCCGCTTTGGTGCAAATGCCGAAAATTTCCCGTAATAGGGTGGAACCACCAGAGAAGAGATCAAAAAATGAAAAATAAAAGAATTTGGATTTGACATTAAGTTATATCGATGTGAGATGACACAACTTCAATGCAGACAAGTACGACGTTACGTTCACTGGTAGTCCGCACAAAGGCATAGGCATTCTTAGGCTAGCGACATCAAGATTTCATCTGCTGATTATCCCTTACAGTGGGAACAGTTACAAACGTCTACCGAGGTATTGTGTGTGGTTCAAGATTTCGCTTCACACTGAATGATTTGCGTTCTCTTTCCAGTGTCTTGTCGCTAGGAATATTCACCTTCTCACCGTTACATTGAGGCAGCGATTTCGGCAGTTGAGACTTCGATTGACCTTCTGATGACTCCTGACCTGATTTGGCTGCAGAGGTTGTTGAATTGCTTGAATCTGCCGTACATTGTGGAACCGGTCTTCCCGCTACCCAGTGACTGCATAGTCAGCCATCATTTGGGCCACCGAACTGTTCAGTTCGATAGTGACGCCTGTTATTGTTGCCAGCTTCTGGGTTGCTTGATTTAGTGCAGAAAGGAGCGAGTCAGTCACATCGTTGTTTGCCAATCCCTGGGCTATTGACTTCAGTTCACTCGAGAGAGCAGCAGCCTCCGGAGCAACCAGGGTAGCTAATGGGGCGTTTTCTAGTGCAGTTGCACACAATGTGCTTGACTCAGGAGCTGTCGGGTTAAGTAAAGGCGCACGCACATCTGATGGCGTTCGTTTAATGCCCTGAGGAACTCTAGCAGATGCATTTTAAATGGGTTTGGGCAGAATAGGAGGTTCAGGACGAAGTGGGCGTGCTGCATTACTGATGGAACCTGAAGGATTGCTCATTGTGGAGGTCTGTTTAGGGGTAGCTTTGATTAGGCTCGGTTGACCAGCAGGTGGCGCGACTGCATGGGCTTGCATTTGTACCTTACCAGGTAACTCAGGAAGAACCAATATCCGAACGGACTGATTCACTTTTGGAAGAATAGGCCTGTTGGCTGTAGTTTTCGAAGACGAAGAAGATGGCACTGAAGACATCCTTGTAGATAATCTGCGTGCTCTGATGTCTCGTGCAAACTGTCGATGTTGTGTGAGGGTGCCTTCTACGTGATCGGCCGTGCAATTAGTCCTTGATGCAGCCCGGGAAACCAACAGTTTACAAGCAGCCTTAATGTGGTCTGAAGTGATTCACTCACGAGTATTGGCGAGTGTTTTCGCAGAAACTCAGACGCTAGATGATCTACAAAGGTACATGAGACGCAAGATAAATGATGAAATGTATGTACTGACATTACCACGACAACTGGCTTATGCATGCTAGTGTTATCGTCTCTTTAAAGTAGGAATTGACACTACGAATAAATAAAAGTTAATTTTTGCGTCCTGGTCAAGTAATGGCAACGATGAAATCAAAGGACATATTGGCAACAGGACGTAATCGACGTATATGCTAGTAGATTGTTTGTAAATAAGCCAGAATAAAAAGGGCCTTGGAAAGGAGTAGAAAGGTGCTGTGCCTGAAACGGAAAATGAATTCTGTGTTTGAGAACCTTAAAGAACCATCGGTTGAGGGAGGATAGAATCGTGGTGAGTGTCTGATTGACGACGTTACCATAGCAGCTGTAAGTGTTAGGCGAAATTCAAAGTGAGGATGTTGATGTAAATGGCGTGGACATAACTGAATCCGTTTTCATAGGTGGCCCAAGTTCCAAAGCGACCATACACTTCGAGACAGATTTATTCAAGTTGACTGTTGGCGCTGTCATCGCTGCCAACAGTTGCACTGCTTCCGTTAGTGCAGAAGCAACGGATTCAGTGGAATCTTTGTTGGCTAGTGATTGGACCATTGAGTCATTTACATGCGAAAGGGCAGTGGCAAGCTTGGAAATCAAAGCAGCCGCTGTGGCGTTCTCCACCGCACTCACGAACAATGGATTTGATGCCAAAGCTGCCGCATTGACTCTACGAACGCTATCAGGTTCATTTGGAAACGGTGAGGCCAGCATTGGCGAGAGAGGATGAACTGGGTGGCTCATCGTACCGAAGTCTGAAGGATTAGCCAGTGCAGGGATCAGTTGAGAGACAGTTGTGGTGGGCATCATCGTGCTAGGCAGAGGCGCAGCTTCATTCGCACTGTCCACGGTAAGTGGCTAATGCGCATCGTCGTGGCCCACCTTCAACTGTTGTTTTTGCGAAATCCCCACAATTGCCAAATTAAGATCATTAAATAAAACTTCACTGGTCATTGAGTGAAGTTGAGATAACAGCCGTTTTCATGTTTCATTACAGGCTCTAGCAGTACATCCATTAAGTCCAAGGAATCGCCAAAGCGTTTCCTCGAAGAAAACCTGAAGTATTTGAATGCGCTGGATCCCAGCTCTGACCCGCAGCTGCGTCGAAATTCCGTTACTGGACCAACAAATCGTAGACCCAGCCAACCACGAACTGGAATCCTACTGAAATGTGTGAGTAGCACGATTGTAACTAGCTGAATTTCTCTTCCCAATGGTAATATTTACCTTTTATCTTACTTCAAGCTTCAGCACTTTTATGAAATCTGATTTACCCAATTCGTTCACAACGAAAAAGATGTTCAACACCATTCTCGTAGGAGCTTTCCCGAGTCGAGATTTCTTGGGCAATTTTAGAACAGCTGTGTTATGTACCTTGCATTAAGAGGTGACAAAAAGAAGTATAAAGAGAGGAGAAGGTTTAAAGTTAGACGTTTTCATAAGATTGATCTTGTAACCTGTAGCACAAAAGCGAAGCACAACATCGCAGCCATTGTACTAAGTAAAATGACAGACAGTGGAACGAGATGTCCACTTCTGTTTTGAAAGATGAGGTGAGGCGAACATGGGTGGTAATCGATGCCTGCGTGGTGACCATAATAAATCTGCATCTACATTATTAGATCAAGTCAAAATAAAATCTATTCTGCCATGATTCTTTTGATTTAAGCAGCGTAAATAAGCGCTAGCATGCCGAAAAATAATTAATCTATTATTTAGCGTCCTTTCCTTTACTGCCAAGAATTCCATATAGTAATCATGTTAGTTGCAAACATCCGAGACACGAAAGCTCATTTGAAAGCCATTTGTATTGCATCCGCTTGATAAATGTTTCCAAGGCCAAGCTGAGTCCTTACAAAGTGATTGGTCGATCAACTTCTATTGATCGG